GTTACGAGTTACTGGATTCCTGGACAGCCATGTGAAAAAAAAACTCACTTTGCAGAGAAAGACGACGATGAAGCAATGGGAGCCCGAAAGGAACCCAACTGTACGTGAAATTAGTGGATTACAGTCAATAGTGCAGTGAAACAGGAATAGCGCTGATCTGCAAAACATTGAATAAAGCCTACTAGAGGTTTTTTATTGGAACGTTCTCAATAGTCAATGTCAGGCAGCGTTCAGTCTTCGCGATGACGCGCAACGAGGCGTTGGAATGCGCTGTAACGCGCGTCATCGCGAAGTCTGAACGCTTCCTTAGCTGCGCACAGTTTATTGTGTTCATTCATCTCTCATATCGAAGGTTGTATTTCGCAGTCGATTCCGCTTATGTTCACCCCAGTTTTTGCATTTTAAAATTATTCTTTTCCAAATATGGTTGAACGAATGTGATTTAAATTTTTCTTTGAGCAGTGAAGAGTTCTGTCCAATCTTTCCATGACAGTCTATGTTTTTTTTTGTTGCGAAATAAACGGGTTCATGAACAAATACATGCCAATTTGAATGTGGACCACCTGCCTGTGGCGCGTACGGCCGCGAAGCAGCTTCCACATAGATTTTGAGAGATCTCGTGCATGTAACGCGGTCGTGTGATACAGCGTTCGAGTATGCTGATAGACAAAACGTTGTAACCATTCAAGCGGTGTTATACAGTCACGATTCCTCCGAACCATAGGGCTTGTGACGCGGCTAGTATGGGAGCGTGAGCAGGGCGCCTTCTTTCGCTGAGGGTACAGCATTTGTGTGAAACACATAGGGAGGGGGTCGTATTTGGTCGTTGGGAGAGGGGGGTCGTATGTGCCTTTAAGAGAAATTTGCTGCGTTGGGAAAATTTTTCCCGGTTGTTGACTTTTCGCGTGATTTTTCCTGTTTCATGTGTACTATGTATCGCCACCCTTTCCTCCACTCTACAGCAAGTTTTTGGGGAAATGCTTGAGTACTTTTTCCAGCTCCATACGCATGACGTAGCCCACTCGCTTAAAGCATAAATTCGGGACAAAGTAGGAAATTTTCAGGAAATTCTAAGAAGCTGGGGAAAATCTAAGAAATTTTCCCGATTCACAGTGGCTGCACACCCCTCGAAGGGCTGCACTCCAATCCGTGCCTCCGTCAGACGCCCTATCGCTTGCAGGGATCACGACTGTAGTTCTTTATAACGTTGATGGCACATAGCAATGGATACATCAAATGAGCACACACCAAGTTTTTCAGAACTTTTTTCTCTCAAGTTTTCTGAAAATGATTAGGAGTGGACTGACACTATCTACCCAAACTCTGCACGCACTGCATTGAGGATAAACGAATTATCGCTTTGCTGACATAACGACTAGATCCGGAGTGAGGCCGCGAGAGTCTTTGCTGATGGTTTCCTCGATGATTTTTCTCTTCGTTCTTCCTGGAGACTCACTTAGCGATTACAGTTTTGCAATTGAACACGCTATCCATAACATGCAATCGCGCGGTATTTCTTCTAAGGCAGTTGGCACTAAGTCTCTAAGACGAGTAAGACTGATACGGCTGACAGAAAGGAATTCCGCGCACTTGAACAGGTGCCGCGTAACGTCTTTCCCAGGGAAGCCCTAAAAGCCATATCAAGCTGCAGCAGACCAGGGCCCCACCGCGCCCGCCCGCCCGTAAAGGACGGCCGTGCCTGATGCTCGTTGCTTCATTTGCGAAGTAAAATATGAAGCGAAGGAATTGACATGAAGCGGCCGCGGTGCTGCATGGATATATGAGTGTACATACGTGCAGCCGTATCTACCGTAGCGGTTATTGGCAAGATGCCTACGGGAAACTCGTCCAAAATTGCTTTTTGAGTCATTACTAGTTATTTTCATTTTTTTCTGAGTCGTTATTAGGTATTTTAGACGGGAGACGGTAAAGAGGATCGTAATTCGCCGCACCGCCACGCGCGGCGATGGGCGCGGCGTTTTCATAACTCGTTTTAACCTGTCGAATGAGCACCGGACTTCATGTAGACCCCGTCATCGTAGACACTCATTACTGTTTTCGGTGTCGCCATCTACTGCCTGAATAAAATCTTTGAAACTGAGATTAATGAACTATGTTGTAAAAACCAATCGTCATTTGTGAAACCATCGTCCTTTGCGGGCGGGACGTCGCACGCGACGCCCAGCAGCGCGGCAAATTACGATCCTCTTGTCGCATACCCGTTTTAGATCGAATGCCAAATTATCGTGCCATATGCCTTTAAGTGAGGACGAATTGATTTTAATTGGCGCGCTCGTCCGCAGTTACAGAAGCCATATAGTGAATGTCGTCATAATGTGGCAACCACCTTCTTTATGATCTCACGTACTTTGCTTATTTTATGCTGATAATATGTTCTAATATGTTCTCCCTGGGAACATGAGTGCTTAACAAAATGCTTGATAGCCAAGTTTTACAAATGTTGTTGGATACAAACGTATTTGGGAGATTGGAGAGTTCAAGGCTGTGTTCACGCAAAAGATTAGATCTATTCCCGCAGTTCCTGAATCCTGCGGTTCTTCATTTCGTCAGTTCTTCAGCTTAAAGCGCAGACGATGAAAACCGTCGCATACCCGCTTCAGCAACTGGCATAGAGCGGGTTTTTCGCCACTCGTACTATGTATGGGACACTTACACTGCCTGACACGCCCCTTCATCCTCTACGAACTAGAGTATATCTCGTCAAAAACACAAGCACGTTCATTTTGACAGCCCACGCCTTGCACATCCCAGGGATTTCGAGTATATGTATGCGTTTTTAGCGAATGGTGGCGGGGGGGGAGGGACTAATCCTATATCGATGGGCGTTTTCGGTCTAGTAGTTCGTCGGTTTCCGGTCGTCTCAATTTGCACAAAGTTCTTTTTAGTTACAGAATGTCACAATCTTCTGAGTTCTGTAGAATTGCAAAAAGCTTCTCTCGGCATGAAATTTTCTAATGCTGGCACATTTCCGCCTGTACACTGCTGTTGCCAAAGAGTAATCGCTTCAGGCTTTTGTGTACAGGCCAACTTATCCCGCAAGGTTCTGGTTCGATGGAGGTTAGCTAAGTTCATACTAGCTTTTTGCAATCGCTTTTAAGGTGTGTGTCAAACCGTTTGCAGGGTTTCAAAGGCGACAATTCAACAAGTGGAAGCCCAGCGGTTCCGAGAGAGTTTCGAACGAAAGGGCGCCGGATTCGTCGATGTCGCATATGCAAGCGCTTTATGGACTATGAAGTTCTCATCGTTCATATGAAGAAATTTCATGGTATCGACATCACCACCGAAATGAACAAATTAGTGCTTCCAAAACGGCTAGTACCTCAGTGTGAAGTGGAAGGATGTGGTTACGTCGCTCGAACTCCTGCCGCTTACTATAAACACATGAGAAATAAGCATCCAGTAAAAGAGAAAATTGGGAACTGTACCACAAGATGTCCGCTATGCCAAGCACCGTTTAGCGATCCAGAAGATCTCGTTGAACACTGTCGAACGGAACATGGAGACGAAAACTGTGTAGTGGAGATGCGTACGTTCCAGAACGTCGAAGAATGTGAAGTTAGTTGTTTAATTCGTATCCCAGAGCCCATGCAGCTTTCATTTCCTCACTTATATGAGGATTTTGTTTCAAAAAGGTGGCTGTCAAAATTAAATACTATAAAACAACCACACTGTGGTCATACGGGTGCTCACATTCCAAGTATATTTTTCTTTTCAGAGCTTAGGCAGGGTTTAGACTTCGTGATGCGCTGTGATGCGGTGTAAGCGCGTCGACGCCTACAATTACAACAGCGCCTAAAGCCATAGGCGTAAACCCAGCCGCAGATTACCGGCGACGATCGACTCTCCTCTACGAAGGCTCGTTGGGCAATGCTGCCTAGTCAG